GTCGCTCAGCAGGTGTGTGATTCGGGCGGAGACCGAGGGGGTGAGGTGGGGGGTTGAGAGATAGATTTGTGTGTCGTCGGCATAGAGGTGGTAGTTGAAGCCGTGAGAGTGTATGAGTTGGCCAAGGGAGGAGGTGTAGATGGAGAATAGGTGGGATATACCCTCCTATCAGTGTGTCAAGACTCCAAAATGTGTAATCAAATAAAAACAAAAAAGGATATGTGAACTATCTCTTGAGAACCCCAGATGAACATAGAGCGCCAAGGAGAAGGCCACTGACTGAAGGACCTGGTGGGAACACTCATGATGGCAGATCCAATAAAGCTTGTAAATTATTCATCAGATCTGTGACAACTCCCATCTGGGATATCTCTCTCATTGTGGAATATCCACCTTAAGAGAAGAAATGTCAAAGCTATAATTGAAGTAGACCTCCCAATGAGCCAGACTCTTATGGATGTACAGGCCAAGTCTCTCGTTCAGTATCCATGGATGCACCCAGCCATAGTCCTCACAGTTCCTGGAAAGCACAAAATGGAGCAATGATTTGGCTCTATGTGTGAGATCTGCTTTAAGATCCTTACTTCTGGGACAATAAGTGATAGTGAATCTGCTCAGTAGACACTGTAACAAACTAGCTCATCCGAGTTGGAGCGGAGTTCTCCTTCAACCTTCTGTATTTGAGGTCTTCCTCGAATCATTCCTCACATCCCCCCTGCATTCCTGTGAGGCAAATGTTATCTCCTGGCAGATGGTGTGGAACAACCAGGAAGACATGAGAGTGGAGACAGGCCGTCTACTAAAGTGTAACTTTTGTCACCCAAAACTATGTAAGCCCCACACCTTATCCAAACAGACCAGAGCAATTGCACATTCCTCAGGTCAACTGTATGTTTCATGTCATGGATTATGAAGCCTTAGTTTAATTCAGTTTCCCACTGACCACTCCGAAAACGTGTAGTAAGAGCCCCCCCCTCCCCTTTGAGAGGAACTTTTAAGAAGAGACAAGTGAGTTAGAGCTTGACAAACACACACAGAGATCTCCCAGCAACATCGTAACAAAAGGAGATCAAGAACTCACCCTGTTCTGCAACTTGGATCTGCAAACCCAGGCATATAGGCAAGTAACTTAACCCTGTAATCTTCTTCCTAATTATCTCTTTGCTGTGTCTTTATATACATATGTATATAGTTTTGTGACATCTCTTTGTAAATATTGTATTGCACTTGTTTTGACCCTTTTAGTAATAAATCTTTCGTTCTGAAAGTGTTAAACTGTTTCTAAGAGCTTACCTGCAATTCACGAATCCCTGCCTTTGAAGAGACGCTACTGTTTGGTATATCTCTGTATAACAGGTCCGCAGGCCGTGCTATATAGATCAATATTTCAATCATTATAGTGTATATTTGATATCGGGAGTTTCCCAGTCTCCGACAAAAGTGGTGGTGGCAGTAGAGGGTTAGTTGCATAATTAACCCGACCCAGTAACAAGCGCAGCATTCAGGCTGCAGGCACCAATTGTAGCCCATTAGCTGGACAATCGCTGTGCTGGGTGCAGCTGGGTGGGGCCTTGTTACGCGCGTCACATCGCGGTTTTAGATCGGCCTGTCCTTCGGTCATGAGTTTGGTGAGAAGGTCTGGGGTCTGACGCCGTGGGCGTGATGTATTACTGTTAGTCGTGGTCGTGCGATTGTCACCTGTTGGTGGCGGCGACTGTGGATCCGTGACAGAGACAACAATACATTTTTTTTCTGTATAATTGGGAAGAGTTACAGCCTCTATTGGGTTATTTTTCTGGTCTTTGCCTTCCTGTTCTTGTGAAAACCCCTGCACAGGCATAGATGCATCGAATCTCGGCTGGTTCAGCATGGACCGACTGAGGTTCGATCCATCTATAGACAGGCTGATTGTACCCAAGTCAATCCATCGATCGACTTGGGTACAACCAGCTGTTGGATATTTAGCATGCGATTCTTGCCCACAGCTATAGCCACTAGCAGTAATCATTGTGTTCTCCAGGAAGGAAAGAAAATTGATTAATCTATGGCTTGTCTTAGACCTCTTGTTATAGGGTGGGGATGGGAAGATAGGTAAAATCTCCCCAGAGGGAACACAGACAGCAGTAGGAATTTGACAGAAGTGTTTAAAATGTCCCCCACCTGAACAACTGACATGCAGCCGTTCAGGGCTGTACACATGCAGCATGGTATAGTAGTTGGGGCAAAAATGAAACAGCATTGCGCATTTGGCACGCATTACTGCTGCAAAACACAACCCATGCATGTCTGTGGGACCTGCAATGCAACAGTGTGCAATACACACTATTGCAGTGCAATGCTGTGTCATTAAAGTGTTAAATCATGTGAAGAAGAGGCAACATATGGCATTCTCATAAACTGTCAAACACCCTCTGAAAGGTAAACCACTGCAGGTTATGTTTGAGAGGGGCAGCAAGAGCTGCTGCACACATAAACAAGCCCTTACACAATAATGTATGCAGCACATTTACTGCTTGTACTGGGCACTGGGAGTTCATGTTTTTTGAGTAAATACTACCAAAAATGGTGTTTATGTTCCTGAAGGTCACGCTGTCCTGTACAGGCCATCGTTCAGAGCCATGTCCTGATAACACATTTAGGTTTTACTGTTTTATTTTGTTTTGAAGACTGTTTTGTAATAACTTTCTTCTTCCAATTCAGCCGAAGCAATTGTTTGCCACATAGAAGACACTCTGTACAACAAACTTATTTATGTGAACGCCATGAACGCAGTGCGGATTGAATTTGACACTTTGTACTTTGTACGGGTAGTAAAATAACAATGCTACTAGTTTAGATTGGTCCTAAACCAAATTCCCCCATGTAACAACACTTTTTTTCAAACTTCTCTTTGAATTATTAGCAATATACAAAGACAAAAGTATAAACTTAGATGTACATCAGATACTGCTGTAAACAGCCAGGGCATTTTTACAAGGTGACCGGAGTTTACCATTAACCACTTCCAGTCCGGACACTTTCACCCCCTTCCTGTCCAGGCCAATTTTCAGCTTTCAGCACTATCATACTTTGAATGACAATTGTGCGGTCATGCAACACTGTACCCTTATTCATTTTTTAGCATTTTTTTGAGACAGATAAAATTTTATTTTGGTGGTATTTATTCACCACTGGGATTTTATTTTTTGCTATATAAACGAAAAAGTCCAAACATTTTGAATAAAAAAGTGTTTTTGTTATAAAATTTTGCAAATAAATACCGTATTTTTCGCTCCACAAGATGCACTTTTTTCCCCCAAAAATGTCAGTGCGTCTTATGGAGCGAATATGGAGCGGCCGGTCCGGTATTCCCACCGCTGCCGCTGTTCAGAATACCGGGCCGGTCACTCGTCTCTGCAGCAGGACTTTACCTGTTCCTCGGTCCAGCACTGAGAAGAATGCCCGCGTTGGCATCTTTAGTGTGGGCTCTCGGCTGTTACAGCCGGGTGCCCAGTGCGCATGCGCGAGAAGCGCTGCGCTTTGTGAAAAGTACGGCATCTTCTGGGACACATTACAGGTCCCAGAATACGCCGGACCAATCACAAAGCGCAGCGCTTCTCGCGCATGTGCACACACTAAATGGAGGACCACTCCGCGGAAGTTGGAGCAGGTACCTGTCAAATTCAGGTTCCTGCTCCCCCTCCCACCCCAAAGGTCCACATTCTTAGTCATCCCCTGTACTGTCTGCAGTCTCTGGTCATCCCCTGCACTGTCCACAGTCTCTTGGTCATCCCCTGCACTGTCCACAGTCTCTTGGTCATCCCCTGTACTGTCCGCAGTCTCTGGTCATCCCCTGTACTGTCTGCAGTCTCTGGTCATCTCCTGTACTGTCTGCAGTCTCTGGTCATCCCCTGTACTGTCTGCAGTCTCTGGTCATCTCCTGTACTGTCTGCAGTCTCTGGTCATCTCCTGTACTGTCCGCAATCTCTGGTCATCCCCTGTACTGTCCGCAGTCTCTGGTCATCTCCTGTACTGTGTCCGCAGTCTCTGGTCATCACCTGTACTGTCCACAGTCTCTGGTCATCTCCTGTACCGTGTCCGCAGTCTCTGGTCATCTCCTGTACTGTCCGCAGTCTCTGGTCATCTCCTGTACTGTCCGCAGTCTCTGGTCATCTCCTGTACTGTGTCCGCAGTCTCTGGTCATCTCTTGTACTGTCCGCAGTCTCTGGTCATCTCCTGTACTGTGTCCACAGTCTCTGGTCATCTCCTGTAGTACGTCCGCAGTCTCTGGTCATCTCCTGTACTATGTCTGCAGTCTCTGGTCATCTCCTGTACTATGTCCGCAGTCTCTGGTCATCTCCTGTACTGTCCGCAGTCTCTGGTCATCTCCTGTACTGTGTCCGCAGTCTCTGGTCATCTCCTGTACTATGTCTGCAGTCTCTGGTCATCTCCTGTACTATGTCCGCAGTCTCTGGTCATCTCCTGTACTGTGTCCGCAGTCTCTGGTCATCTCCTGTACTGTGTCCGCAGTCTCTGGTCATCTCCTGTACTATGTCCACAGTCTCTGGTCATCTCGTGTACTATGTCTGCAGTCTCTGGTCATTTGCTGTACTGTGTCTGCAGTCCATTGGTTCAGAATATTTTTTTTCTTGTTTTCCGCCTCTAAAACCTAGGTGCGTTTTATGGTCAGGTGCATTTTATGGAGCGCAAAATATGGTAATCTTTCTTCATAAATCTTGGCCAAAATGTATTCATTCATCTGTTTAGTAAAAAAACATTTTTTTTAATTTTTATTTTGTATTATATTATTATTTATGTTTTGTTTTTTTTTGTTTTTTTGTTTTTTAAAACATAACGTCACCCTAGCAATACAGTGTCACCATATACACTGATTGCTTTTACACCCATAAAGGCTATAAAATCAATAACTTCTCCTTCTCTCTGGCTGCATTCGTGCAGCCATTGAGAAATACTGTGAGAGCTGTGATTGGTCACAACTTGTCACATGGTACAAGGCTGTTGTGAATAGCCTTTTACCATGTGACCTCTGTGACCATTCACAGATTTCACTAGTAGTAAGCAATGATGTCAGGAAGTGACATCTTGCTTACTACTATGCATGTGATCATTGATTGGCCAATCAGTGATCACATAATCGAGACCTCACACAGAGGTCCCGTACAGCAGTTGGTGTTCCGCTGTGTCCTCTGGACACAGCGGGCACTGGATTGCGGTGCCGCGCACTCCCAGGTAGCGTGCACAGGCAGTGAATGCGGAGGCCATTTATAAAGGGCCACCCACTCCTGCAGTGCTCCTGTCCAGCCGTTTATGTACATGGGCCAGACGGGAAGTGGTTAAACTGTAGCATTACCACCGCATGAGCCGCTGGTTGTTTCGGATCATCTGTTCTTACCTTGACTTTAGCAAAGAACTCAGCACCACTGACACCTTGGGTATGCATGTCAATAGGTAGAGATTGATCATTTTTTATTAATACCTTAGTGTCACCCCCAAATGAGACTTGAGATAAGGTAACAAAGTATATTGAGAAAAACAGTGCTCAGGTAAACAGAGTATGGCAATGAGAAACACCTTGCAGGTCACACAACTATAATCCTCAATTAGCAAGGTAAGAGTGCTACCTTATGTCCAGATGGAATCAGCATAAACTATAGCTTTCCTCAGCTTAAGGCAACAGTGAGTTGGGATCAATAGGATAGTAGCTAAGTTGCCTAAAGTCACATGAGGTGAGGAAGCTAGACCTAGGCCTTTCGTTATGACTGATAAATATTAATATACCATAAAATAGGCTCAACAGCAGTGAATTTAGATACAATATTTAAAGTAAATCTTCTGCTGACTATGTTGGGGCCCTTGAAGATGTTGGCGCAATGGTTGGAAGGGATATTTTGGCAGTGGGTCAGTTTACAGAACAATGGTCTCCTGAGGGTACTGAGAGAGGAGTGGATAGATAGGGGTTAATACTCTGGAGCAGGATGGTGGTTATTTGTTTATTTGTTATTTGTTTATTTGGTGGTTATTTGTTTTATATATGTAGCGCCACCCCCGAAGGAGCCGCTTGGTAACTTTTGGTTCTCTGTTCTGTGCCTCAACTCCAAGAACAACCTTGGCCCCTCTGACACACTAAAAATCACTGCAAGCACAGGTAAATAAGCGTGAAACACCTTTAACCTGGCTGTGGGTTACTACCAGTAAATAGACACACACCCATTTAGTGGTAAATGCGCTTAATCTATTGAAATGGGTTAAATAGCAAATTAAAAATAAGTGGGCATAAAGCTGATTGATCATAACACAGTCTGCTAGACAGAGTAATAATAACTATGTTAACCACTTCCAGTCCGGACACTTTTACCCTCTTCCTGACCAGGGCAATTTTCAGCTTTCAGCGCTATCACACTTTGAATGACAATTGCGCGGTCATGCAACGCTGTACCCAAATACATTTTTTACTATTTTTTGGAGACAGATAAAGCTTTATTTTGGTGGTATTTATTCACCGCTGGGATTTTTATTTTTTTTGCTATGTAAATGAAAAAGTCCAAAAATTTTGAAAAAATTTTGCAAAGAAATAATATTTTATCATAAATCTCAGCCAAAATTTATTCCGTTATCTTTTTAGCAAAAAAAAAAAATCCAAATTAGTTTATAACCAACAATTATAATTTTTAAAGAATTTGTTTTACATTTTTATTTTATTTTTTTATATTATTTTTTATTTCTTTTTACATACTGTCACCATAGCAGTACAGTGTCACCATGGTGACACTGTACTACTTGTGGGGGGTGATAAAGATTTTTTTTTTTTTACACTGATTGCTTTTACACCCATTCTTGCAGTCATTGAGAAGTACTGAGTGAGCTGTGATTGGTCACAGCTTGTCACATGGTACAAGGCTGTTGTGAATAGCCTTGTACCATGTGACCTCTGTGATCATTCACAGATTTCATACATAGTAAGCAATGATGTCACAAGTGACATCTTGCTTACTACTTTGCATGTGATCACTGATTGGCCAATCAGTGATCACATGATCGGGACCTCATACAGAGGTCCCGTCCGACGATCGGTGTTTCACTGTGTCCAGAGGACACAGCGGGCACAGGATCGTGGTGCTGCGCACTCCCAGGGAGCGCGCACAAGCAGGGTGCGGGAAGGCCGTTTATAAACGGCAACCCGACCCTGCACTGCCACCTTCCGGCCGTTTATATACAACAGCCAGTCGGGAAGTGGTTAAACTGGCAAAAATTAGATTTTGTAACTAGGATCAGAAGGGTATGTTAGTAAATCAGCAATAAACAATATTAGTAAATGTAAAATGCATTATAAATTATGATAACAGTATGCTAGGTTAGAGTGCACTCAAAGGGATTGGTAGGGATGCAGCATCTCTTAAGAGGTACTGTACCTCTTTAACCACTTGCCTACCGGGCACTTATACCCCCTTCCTTACCAGGCCAATTTTCAGCTTTCAGCACTGCCGCACTTTGATTGACAATTGGCGGTCATGCAACATTGTACCCATATGAAATTTTGATCATTTTTTTCTCACAAATAGAGCTTTCTTTTGGTGGTATTTAATCGCCACTGGGCGCTTTACTTTTTGCGCTATAAATACAAAAAGTGCAAAAAATTTGAAAAAAAAAAAAAAGTTTCTTTGTTTCTATTATAAAATTTTTCAAACAGGTAATTTTTCTCCTTCACTGATGTGCGTTGATGAGGCAGCACTGATGGGCACTGATAGGCGGCACTGATGGGCACTGATAGGCAGCACTAAAGGGCACTGATAGGCAGCACTAATGAGGTGGCACGGATAGGCGGCACTAATATGCAGCACTGATAGGCGGCACTGATAGGTGACACTGATGATGGGTACTGATAGACGGCACTGACTGGCATCACTGCTGGGCACTGACTGGCGGCACTGACTGGCACAACCCCTGGGCACTGACTGGTGGCACTGACTGGCAGCACTGGTGGGTGGCACTGGTGGGTGGCACTGGTGGGTGGCACTGGTGGGTGGGCACAGTGGGTGGGCACAGGTGGGTGGCACTGCTGGGCACAGGTGGGTGGCACTTCTGGGCACAGGTGTGTGACACTGCAGAGTGGCACAGGTGGGTGCACTGCTGGGCACAGGTGGGTGATCTGCTGGGCACAGGTGGGTGGAGCTAGTGGGCGCACTTCTGGGCAAAGGTGGGCGGAGCTTGCGGGTGGCACTGCTGGGCACCGATCATCAGGGCACTGATCATCCGTGCCCTGATGATCGGTGCCGATCCCCGCTCTGACAACTGCCGGTTCTCGGCAGTACTTTCCTCACGATCTGACAGCGTGAGGAAAGTGCAGCCGAGAACCGGCACTTGCATTTTCCTCTGATCAGCGTGTCATTGGACACCGCTGATCACGTGGTAAAAGGCCGCTGTGATTGGCCTTTTACCACATCACGTGATCAGCTGTGTCCGTAGGACACAGCGATCACGGAGATCGCCGGGTGTGCGCGCCCCCTGGGGCGCGCAGGAGAGCACGTTCTGGGAGGACGTCATATGATGTCCACCCAGAACTGGCCGGCCGCAGTGCAGCCGTCATTCGGCTATCTGCGGTCGGCAGGTAGTTAACTAAAAAAAAAAAAAACCCCCAGCCTCAGGACAGCAACTCTTAGGGGCAGTCTTTAGTCTTGACTCTTCAGCCGGCTAAAGTTTGGGGGCCTGTTGGCGCGCATTAAAGCAGTCAAATAAGACCCGCAGGCAGTATAAGAACTATTGAGTAGCTGTAAGATAGTTCCTAATGGCCCAGTCACTAATGATGGTAAGAAGTAGCAGCCACAAGTCCTTCTCACCAGACCCAGTCATACAGCAGCAGTGGTCTATCTAATCGGGTATCCACTCATTCTGGGTTGCCCATAATGATGCTGGTGGGTAGCTTTGTCCCTCCGTACTTGGGTCATGCTCTGTACTCTCTGGCTGTCTCTCACACGGCTGTGGGTTCTGCTGACACAGGCTCTTTCTCTGTTAGGAGGAGTTCTTTCACACAGTCCTGTCACATCACTCTGAGGAGCATTCACATCTGACACAGGCTCTTTCCCTGTGAGCTGTGGGTTCTGCAGTGCAGCACCAGTCTCTGGTCAGGCTCTGTAAGGCAGCAGAGGTGACCAGCAAGCCTGGGCACAGAGCCCCAGATCCCCTGGTGGTACAAGCACTAGGCATCTATGCAGGACTTGACCACAGCAGACAGTGACACTACTAACTTTGTCCCAGTCCAGCGGTATACAGCCAATCTCCTCGCTCTCTGGTACCAACAGGTCCTAATTCTGGTGCAGCGCACAGTCTCTAAATGATCTCCATAACTCTCTTTCTCTCAACTGCAACAACCTTCTTTCTTCACACACTGGCGCTCTCTCTCATTTGCCCTGCGCCTTCCCAGGCTTTTCTATTTATCTGAACAGCTACTTTCAGGTCCACTGGGTTGTGTAGTTTCCTGTGTCTGTATTAGTAAGGCATCTCTTCTGGCCTGAACTACATCTTCCAGGGTTCAGTGCTCTAAGTGGGAATGAATCAGAAGAACTAGTGCTAACTTTGACAATGTATTATAAAAACCTGCACAGTTCAGTTACAAGGGGTCTTGTTACAAAACATTTCTGACGCATTCCCAATGACCAGTTCTGTCTCACAGGCTCTTTGTCTTGGTATGTAGAACTTTAGTGCCTAGGGTACAGATTGTTTTTTTCCTTCAAATTCTTTATTTAGCACAAACAACAAGATAAAAAATGCAACAGAAAGGATTAGCATAAAGAATGTTATGTAAGTATGAACAAACTATACTATATTGCAAAAAGTATTGGGACGCCTGCCTTTAAACGCACATGAACTTTAATGGCATCCAAGTCTTAGTCCATGGGGTTCAATATTGAATTGGCCCACCCTTTGCAGCTATAATAGCTTCAACTCTTCTGGAAAGGCTGTCCAAAAGGTTTAGGAGTGTGTCTATGGGAATGTTTGACCATTCTTCCAGAAGCGCATTTGTGAGGTCAGGCACTGATGTCAGAGGAGAAGGCCTGGCTCACAGTCTCCACTCTAATTCATCCCAAAGGTGTTCTATCAGGTTGAGATCAGGACTCAGGATGGGTTGGACGGGTTGTGCAGGCCAGTCACGTTTCTCCACCCAAACTCACTAATCCATGTCTTTATGGACCTTGCTTTGTACACTGGTATGCAGTCATGTTGGAACAGGAAGAGGCCATCCCCAAACTGTTCCATAAAGTTGAGAGCATGAAATTGTCCAAAATGTCTCAGTATGCTGATGTCTTAAGAGTTCCCTTCATTGGAACTAAGGGGCCAAGCACAACCCCACGTCATAGTCCTCATTCTGCCAAACTTTACACTTGGCACTATGCAGTCAGGCACGTACCATTCTCCTGGCAAATGCCAAACCCAGACATGTCTATTGGATTGCCAGACAGAGAAGCATCATTTGTCACTCCAGAGAACACTGAGTCCAGCAGCTGCATGCTTTACACCACTGTATCCGATACTTTGCACATTGCACGTGGTGATGTAAGGCTTAGATGCAGCTGCTAGGCCATGGAATCCCAGTCCATGAGGCTCTCTATGCACTGTTGTGCTAATCTGAAGGCCACACGAAGTTTGGAGGTCTTTAGCTATTGTCTCTGCAGACAGTTGGCGACTTCTTGGCACTGTGCGCTTCAGAATACACTGACCTCGCACTGTCAGTTTACTGGCCTACCACTTCGTGGCTGAGTTGCTGTTGTTCCCAGTTGCTTCCATTTTGTTATAGTTCCACTAATGTTTGATCTTGGAATATTTAGTAGCAAGGAAATTTCATGGATGGACTTATTGCACAGGTGGCAACCTATTGATTTTATACACCTTGACAATGGAGGTGATTGAACCACCTGAATTCAATGATTTGGAGGGGTGGCCCAATACTTTTAGCAATATAGTGTAAGTACGTTCAGGCCTTTATCAAATCAAGCATATATAGACAGCTTTATCAACATGGGAACTAGCTAATGTAAATCAAATGGATACAGGTTGATGGGAAATGTAAAAGTAGCCTTAGTCAGCATTCTGCTCCCATAAAAACCATTAGAATCCATAAATCTCATTGTTGTGAAATCTGCAAGAGAGTTCTGGGTCCAATCAGGGCCGTCTTTAAGGAGGGCCAAAAGGGGCAGCTGCCCTGAGCCCAGTCATTGTTCTGGGGCCCAAAGCAGCTATCTTATACTTGCCAACTGTACTGGTTTACTTTCCCTTTGTCCCTGGAAGTCTTTGTCCCAGACTGTGTCTGATATCTCAGTGTGAAGTGCTATCACTTATGCTGCATTCATATGTATAACGACCGAAGTGTGGCATTCATATGTATAGTATGCTCCCCCCAAGGTTCCAGCAACCAACACCTCTGCTGATGGTCAGAGCAAATTCCCCCTTACATTGGTGGCCAGTGTAGAAATGTATTGGTTGTTGGTGTAAAATCTGCCATTACATTGGATGTCAGTGTAAATTCCTCAGTACATTGGTGGCCAGTGTACATTTCCCTTTACATTTGTGGTCAGTGCAGAATTGCCCTTACACTGGTAGTCAGTGTAAATCCCCCTTACATTGGTCATATGTTTTAATCCCCCCTAATATTGGTGGTCAGTGTAGAAATGTCACCTCCCATCCCCATGCAGCACTGCCATTGATCCCATCCACCCCAAGTACTGCCATCTCCCTATCAGCACTGTTACTCATCACATCCCCCCAGCACTGCCACTTCTCCCATCCTCTCCACCACTGCCACTGATCCCATCAACCCTTCCCCCAGCACTTCCACTGATCACACCCACCCGCCCAGCACTGCCATTGATCCCAGGAGTCCTAGGAGTTTTCTGTCTATTGGTGGGTTTCCTAACCTTCTCAGTCCATGGTGAGCAGGCAGTGAGATGATGTGCTCTAACCTTCAGAGACCAATCAGTGAGACGTAATAAGTTATGTAACCTCTAGCAACCAATCAGTGAGTGGTAAGGATGTGCAGTAACCTCCAGCAACCTATGGGTGAGCAGTAATGATGTGCAGTAACCTCTAACAATCAATCAATGAGCGGTAATAATGTGCAGTAACCTCTAACAACCAACTAGTGACCAGTAATGATGTGTAGTAACCTCAAGCAGCCAATCAGTGAGCGGTAAGGATGTGCAGAAACCTCTAGCAACCAGTCAGTGGGCAGTAATTATATGCTGTAACCTCTGACAATCAATTGCAATTCTTGCCTGATCTGCTGCAGTAAACTGATTACACTGTTCAACAGGTAAAAAGTTTTGGGCATAAAATTAGCTAATCTTACATAATTTTGGGGTGCTGAAAACGAAAATGACCCTAAAAATGTTGATTGGCTCTAGTTTCCATGATATATTCACCCATCTAATGACGTAAGCCATTCAAAATTATGATGCAACTTCAGCTGCATATTGCGCAATTGATACTGGTGACCAATAGAAAATTGCATGTATACTGAGATGATGCAATATTAGCCTTTAATTGCATCACTTCACTGCATAAAAGCTGCAGTATCTGTAGCTGATTGTAGTTCGACAGCGTCTTTACATTTCGTTTTATGCTTATATAGGCTACTCAGTAATGCCTCGAACTTGTGTGAATAAAGCAGATAATTTCTGCTATATCTGCGGTGAAATAACTTTTATCTCACAAAAAAGGAGGATAACAGGAATGATTAAGAAAGCCTACAACTTGTAATTTGGCTGCAAGATAGGAGACCAGGACAAGAGCTGGGCACCACATATATGCTGCAATTCTTGTGGGACGGCACTGGAGCAATGGTTGAATGGAAAAAAGGCATCTATGCCTTTCGCTGTGCCAATGATTTGGAGAGAGCCAACAGATCATGTAATTGTTACTTTTGTATGGTGCCTCCAATTGTAAAAGGGCTAAATAAGAAGAAAAAGTTATCTGTGCACTATCCAAATATTCCATCGGCAATACGTCCAGTTCCTCATGGAGAGGGGCTACCAATTCCTAAAGCACCAGAATCCTTCGTGGTTGAGTCAAGTGAGGAAGAACCTGAAGCGTGTAGTCACGTGCAGTTGTAAGAGATAGCCCTTTCCTCGAATACAAGAGAAAAGCCAAGAGAAGCAAAACCGACACAAACTGAAGACAAAACTAGTGAGAATCCTAAGTATTAAAATGATTCAACTTAGCTTATGGCTATAATTTTTCTTGGTAATCCTATGCAATATATTATGCCATTTAGGCTTTGTTATGTAGTCAATATCACTTGCTTTATATTTGTGGAAAGACATCTATCTACAGTCAGGTCCATAAATATTGGGACATGGACACAATTCTAACATTTTTGGCTCTATACACCACCACAATGGATTTGAAATGAAATGAACAAGATGTGCTTTAACTGCAGACTGTCAGCTTTAATTTGAGGGTATTTACATCCAAATCAGGTGAACAGTGTAGGAATTACAACAGTTTGCATATGTGCCTCCCACTTGTTAAGGGACCAAAAGTAATGGGACAGAATATTAACCATAAATCAAACTTTCATTTTTTAATACTTGGTTGCAAATCCTTTGCAGTCAATTACAGCCTGAAGTCTGGAACGCATAGACATCACCAGACGCTGGGTTTCATCCCTGGTGATACCCTGCCAGGCCTCTACTGCAACTGTCTTCAGTTCCTGCTTGTTCTTGGGGCATTTTCCCTTCAGTTTTGTCTTCAGCAAGTGAAATGCATGCTCAATCGGATTCAGGTCAGGTGATTGACCTCTTCTTTCCCTTAAAAAACTCTTTGGTTGCTTTTGCAGTATGCTTTGGGTCATTGTCCATCTGCACTGTGAAGCGGCGTCCAATGAGTTGTGAAGTTGTGAAGCATTTGGCTGAATATGGCTGAATATGAGCAGATAATATTCCCGAAACACTTCAGAATTCATCCTGCTGCTTTTGTCAGCAGTCACATCATCAATAAATACAAGAGAACCAGTTCCATTGGCAGCCATACATGCCCACGCCATGACACTACCACCACCATGCTTCACTGATGAGGTGGTATGCTTAGGATCATGAGCAGTTGCTTTCCTTCTCCATACTCTTCTCTTCCCATCACTCTGGTACAAGTTGATCTTGGTCTCATCTGTCCATAGGATGTTGTTCCAGAACTGTGAAGGCTTTTTTACATGTCATTTGGCAAACTCTAATCTGGCCTTCCTGTTTTTGAGGCTCACCAATGGTTTCCATCTTGTGGTGAACCCTCTGTATTCACTCTGGTGAAGTCTTCTTTTGATTGTTGACTTTGACACACATACACCTACCTCCTGGAGAGTGTTCTTGATCTGGCCAACTGTTGTGAAGGGTGTTTTCTTCACCAGGGAAAGAATTCTTCGGTCATCCACCACAGTTGCTTTCCGTGGTCTTCTGGGTCTTTTGGTGTTGCTGAGCTCACCGGTGCATTCCTTCTTTTTAAGAATGTTCCAAACATTTGTTTTGGCCACGCCTAATGTTTTTGCTATCTCTCTGATGGGTTTGTTTTGTTTTTTTCAGCCTAATGATGGCTTGCTTCACTGATAGTGACAGTTCTTTGGATCTCATCTTGAGAGTTGACAGCAACAGATTCCAAATGCAAATAGCACACTTGAAATGAACTCTGGACCTTTTATCTGCTCATTGTAATTGGGACAATGAGGGAATAACACACACCTGGCCATGGAACAGCTGAGAAGCCAATTGTCCCATTACTTTTGGTCCCTTAACAAGTGGGAGGCACATATGCAAACTGTTGTAATTCCTACACCGTTCACCTGATTTGGATGTAAATACCCTCAAATTAAAGATGACAGTCTGCAGTTAAAGCACATCTTGTTCGTTTCATTTCAAATCCATTGTGGTGGTGTATAGAGCCAAAAATGTTAGAATTGTGTCGATGTCCCAATATTTATGGACCTGACTGTATATAATTATTGTGCATTATGTAGTCATTACGCCTATAGTAGAAAACTTTCCGTTTACAGAAAAACTAGAGCCAATTGACAAATTTCATTGTTATATTTGAACTCAGAATGTGAAATTCATTAAGAAATGGATCCTTTTGTTTCCAAAACTGGCAAAAAATAAAAATTTGTTGAACAGTGTTATGAGTTTAGCTGCTATTTATTGTATGCCTCAGAGCAGGTGGAGAGAATATTTTCATGGGGGGGGGGGGGCAAGAAAATGTTTGCCCAGTGTCCAATCAATATTAAAGATGGCCCTGGGTCCAATTCATGCAAATGAGAGGTGGATCAAATTCTGAGTGGTTCACTCATCTCTTTGACCAGAGCAGATTTCATATTTTGCAATGTGCATTAGACCTTCTCTCCTCTTTTTTTTTCTTTTGCAAACCTTAATCTGACAGTCCCCAATACGCTGTCTGGTTGCTGCATATGTAAGCATACAAATACATAAACATGAGGCCATGCAACATACACACTCTGACATGCCCATGTGCCAAGCCATGTACAGCCTAAACTTATGGATGCCAAGCTCGTTGTATATTTACTGCATCATCTTCAGCACTTGATTCTGCCATAAGCTACCTGACCACCTATGGGTGACCCGGTTTCTTATTTTGACAATGCCTACTTTGTTGTCTTTGGCTCTGATTACAATGGGGATCAGCCTTGATGTGTGCTCTGAGTCCTTCCCCAAAGCCTATGCTGACCTTCCTAAACTTTTCATGAAAGTGTTCCACCTGTCATGACCCTTGCTAATGACTGAACTACAAAACCGGTCCACCTGCCCCAACCTTGCTTGTAATTCAGACTTTCACCATGGCTCATTAGCATTATTTTCTTATGTCATTCATT